CGTGCAGTGCAGATCTTGCCAACATTTGGTGTAGCTGCGGAAGTGGTGGCGAGGAGGATACCACACACCCTCTTCTGCTCGCCCTCCAGGAGTACCACACTGGACAGGTGTACTCCTCACAGGTCGGATCCTTAGGCAGTACCATTGGATTAGTTGGTCCTTACTTGCTCCGAAGAACCTTGAACGGGAAAGAGGAACAGTCGCTCGGATGCCGGGGTCACGATAAGGTCCACGCGGTCCTACCACGTCAGTCTTGAGTTCATGCCGAGTCCGACCTCTCTGGCTGTGTTGACTCGGGGGATTTCGTTGACGCGGAGGAGGACACTTGGGAACGCCCCGTCCCTTCTGAGGAAACTTAGGCACCTCGCACTTGCTAGGGTTCGGCAGGAGGTTTCATTCTTCACACTGCAGTCGAGCTGTGGCTATGTTGTGCTGAAGTCGGTTATTCCGGAGTTCTATTGTCTGAGTGACGATTGTGACGTCATCGACAAATTTACTCTGCAAGTTGTGTGGAGAGAGACTATTAATGGCTGCAAGGAAGATGGCTGGCCCGATGCATGTCCCCCGGGGCACTCCACACGTGGTTGGCAGCCAGATGGATGTCTCGCCATCGTATCATATAACAGTTATGAATGGTGGCAGTAAAGTTCTGCATCCGAGGTGGTAAAGATGGGCCACAGCCATTTTGTGTGTATGTGTGTCCACGTTGTCGAATGCCTTTTTAAAATCAAGTAAGTACAGCTAGGCCACAGTGGTCTTCAGGACATGCATGAGGTATGCCATGTACAATTGTTAATATAAACGCTACGAGATAAAGTAAGCAAATACGGCTATAAAGGTAATAATTCGCATGTGTACGCAAATAAAGACTAAAAAAAAAGAAAAAAAATACTGACAAATTATCCAAAATACTTAATTACACCAAATTACACTCAAAAGCGATCTTCCAACATTACGATAACACCTAAAGCACACTCAACACTCCTTCCGCGACACAAAAAAAATCCTTCCTCAAGAACTAGCAAACAAGCCATTCTCAGCACAAGCACCCAGCCCTTCCTCCGCCCAAACAACCCATCCTCAGCACCCGCAACCACCCCTTCCCCCCGCAACCACCCCATCACGCACACGACCACCTCGAAATACAAAAGAGAGACACGCAGCTCTGCCTTCCCCCCCCCCCCTTCGCCCCTTCGCCCCCTTCGCCCCCTCGCCCCGTCCTAAGTACAGGCAGCGAGAGCCGAGTGAGTGAGCGAACCGCCAAGGGTCAGATAAGCCATAAAGGAGGAGGAGCATGTCTTTAGGAGGTCTCCCCGGCCCGTAAAACTAATTTTATAGCGGCTGTTAGCGCGTCGCGAGAGTCGGAAACGCTCTGACTATTATATTTCATGGAGAATCTCGGCCGCAACAATACTATATGTAGGGTCGTGATGTTTGTTGTATTCTTATTTGCAGAAACTTACTGATGGACGAAAAATGCGTGAATAACTTTTCTTTCTTTCTTTGCATTACTCATAATTATGATTATTATTATGATTATTATTGTTGGTGGTGCTAGTAATGGTGTTGATGTTCTTGTTTTGTTGTTGCTCTTATTATTGTTAGTTTGATTATCATTGATATTATTATCTTTATTATTATCCTTATTTTAGTCAATATCATCATCATTATCATCATTATTACTATGATTTCTTTCTACCAATAATATCATCATAACTATAATTTTTACTATGATGATTCTTATCATCATTATTAATATAACAATGTCATTTTTTTCATTATCAGTATCAGTATCATTAATTTTGCTTTTATTTTTGTTATCACCATATTTGTTATCACTGTTAGTATTATCACTATCATTATCATTACGATCATTATTACTTTTATTATCATCATCATCATCTTCCACATCATCATCATCATCATCATCATCATCATCATCATCATCATCATCATCATCATCATCATCATCATCATCATAATAATAATAATAATAATAATAATGATAATCACCGTCATTATCACCTTCATCATCACCGTCATCATTATCATCGTCTTTATTATTATAAGTCAAAATTATTATCATTATTACAGTCAATATCATCATCATTATTATATATAGTATTAGCAGTATCTTATGTTATCATCATTATCGGTACTATATTATTATTGTTATTAACATCGTTATAATTATCATTATCATTGATATTGTTAAATCCTAATTATCATTTTCATTACTATTATCATTATCATTATCATTTACCTTATTTTTACTATTACCATTATCATTACTATTGTTATCAGTATCTTTACTATTATTATTATTATCATTTTCCTATCATTATCATTATCATCATTATAATAATGATAATAACTGATCATTGTTATTATATTATCATTATCTTTATCATTATCATTATCATTATTACTATATTATCTTTATCATTATCATTATCATAATTACTATTATTATTACGATCATAACTATTGTTACTAATACTATCATTACTATTTACATTACCATCATCAAAATAATTTTTCTATTTATCGTTATTGTTATTGTTATTATCACTTTTACTATCATTATTGTTAATGTCATAATTTTCACTATTATTAGTTATTATTCTTATAATCGTTACTATCATAATTACTGTTATTATCATTATTATTATTATTACTATCGTTATCATCATTAGTATCATTATTTTCATTACTATCATTATATATATATATAATTATATTCATCATTAGTGTTATTATTATTAGTTTCATTATCACCATTATCATTTATCCTTATTGTCATCATCATTATCATTATCACTACCATTACCATTATCATTATTATCATCCTCATCCTCATTAATATCATTATATCCTCATTAATGTCATTATCATCATTTTTATTTTTTTCTTCCTATTGCTATCATTATTGCTATCATCTTTATTTTTCTATTATTATCATTAATGTTATCATTATTTTCATCCACTGGGAGATTGGGTCTGAGTGGAATGAATGAATAGATTCGCTATTATTTTCAATCAGGAACAGTGTTCAAGATGAGTCTTGGCTAGTCACCATTTCAGTTAATCTATGGTTAAGAAGTATAAAAATGATATCAGTAAATATTTTATAGAGGTAATGGTTAAATGAACTGGAGATTCCCGTAGCTGCCTATGAGAGTAAATAGATTACAAAATGCCATTTCAATAGCTCATAACCATTTCGGTAAAGCTCAAACTAAAGGAAAAAATCGTTTTGATAAAATTACTTTAATGAGGGGGATTTAGTTTTCGCTTTCCTACTATGGAGGAAACAAGATCTCGCTGGTTTTTATCAATTTAATGAGCGACCGAGTACGTGTGTTGGCCAATCAACAGGTGAGGGGTGAATGGTGACAGCTTTTAATGTCGATGATGAATACGTTCATTAGTCATGCTACAGCATGGGTAGTTCCCCCTCCAGTGCAGCGAAAGCCAAACTCTGGGGATCCTGAGGGATTCCTGCAGGTGTCCGGACTTAACGTGGTCAATGGTCATGGTGTACTCGTCTTTTGGGCGCCGAAGAGTGATATGATCGCCTTTGCTGATGATCGGGAAGGGCCATCTTATGGAGGGCTAAGAGGGGGTCTGAGATGTTTCTTCACAAAGAGCAATCTTGGAATCCAAGAAGTATGTAGACATCCTGCTATCGACAGGGCCTAGTTGGTCAGCTGCATACACGAGCCATTTATTCGCAGAGTTGCCGAAAGTCCCTGTTCGAAGTTGTTGGCCTTGACGAGGAAGTTGATTCCATAAACCATTACTGCGGTGGTGTAAGGAAAGTCTTCCTTGAGGGACGTCCGGATATTAAGGACAATAGTAAGCTGGTAGGTTCACCTTTTGTTCTCAGAGGAGGATGTCAGGGCCTACTTCATGTGACGGTGAAGGCAGGCTTGGTAGACAGGCAGAAGAACCACCAGGTAGCGCTAAAGTTCAGACTCGAAATTGGAACCTCGATGAGAAGTGATGGTAGCCGGGATGTCGAAATGGGAGATCCAGGTGCTGAGGATCGTCTTGCTACAGTGATGTCGGTAGTCACCACACAGGCACCAGTCACCATCCTTTTCCTCTGCCAGATGCAAAGGAATTGCTCATTGGCTGCTGGGATGTTGGATGACCCCTAATTACATGATGTGATTGAACTTATCGATGCTGCAGTATCTGTCGAATGCGAGCGGATGGCAACGAGAATAGGTGGGGGCCGTGAATAACAATATCATGCCAGACATCGTGGCAAGGGAGGATGACCTGGTTGTTTGGCTTGGTCAAAGCTGGGAATGCTCTTGAAGGTGCAGGTCCTGCGAAGAACTATGTAACTTCAGGGAGCAATTACTCCCTGATTGGTGAATACGGGCATTATTATTAAGGTCGATAGTGTTGGAGAGTGACTGAAGCTCAAGCCTCTGCATAGAAGTATAGTTGTGTGGAAGCGGGGCTGGGAATTCGAACTTGATGGCCGTTTCGGTGCAGAAAATCGCTTCGCAGCCACGGATAGTGCTGCAGGCTGGGGTTCCAACGTCACAGCAAAAGCGGCAAGTGCGGCTGACACTGCCGTTACTGTGATGTGGTGCCTTACTTGCAGTCATGGCATCGGCCTTTAGGGCTAGATGTTCCAATGGAAGGTATGACACTAGGATTTGTTGGATGTCGTCAAGAAGCCGCTTAAAGAGGGAGCACATTAGGTCTGGTGGTAATGTCATGACGGATTGGGTAGGGATGCGTTAAAATTGGTGAAAGACTTCTGTAGGTGTGTGGCTCTCTGGAATCCTTACTCTAAAAACAAGGCAACGCCAGGGAACTCCACCGCCGCCGCTGACGGTCGAGCTCCACAGATGGCGCTCGAACGCCAGGAGAAGCGCTACCTTTCAAGACATTTATTGCTATAAAGCGAACGAAAACATAAAATCGGCGCGAAATTTGAAGGCTGTAGACACTTCCTGCTTGGGCATGGCGCCAAGAGCAGCACCAATTGGCACTTTTGAAAAGGAGTGCCTCCTCGAAATTGTCAAAGCTGCAAAAAAAAAAGCACAGTGTTGGCAAGACATTCCAAATATCTTTTTTTTTTTCTAAAACAGGCTGTAGGAAAACTCCCATCCAGGTCAGAAAGGTCTGGGAATCCGTTCGAAAATCATAAGTTGTATTATAATTCTTAATTGCTTACAGATTTACCTTTAATGACCTATACTGAAATTGAAGATGCATCCATAGTTTAATATTTATTAATACTAGTGTTTCTATGTCCACAGAGCAAAGAACCGTTATTCATGCTATAAGCGGAAAATAAAGGAAACTGGGGGAGGTCCACCACCACAGTCTCTAGATAACATCACGCAAAAGGTGCTGCAGCTCATTGAAGGCGAATTGGAGCCACTGGCGAATGTGTGGGATTCGGATGCTGGAATACATGATGAATCTAGTGCCATTACCGGTAATGTTATTTCTTTAGAGCAATAGTTTTATATATGAGCTGTGTGTAGAGGGGTATAGAAAGTGTATGTATTTTTACACAAATGTGCTTGTCTGAATGCATTTTCTGATTTCAGATTCATTCGCTGATAGCAATCCTGGGCCAACCCCGATTGCCACTCCACCTGTGGTTCAAGACCTAACAAAAGATGGCGATACTCTGGTTTTATCAGAGGTGATTTTCACATCTGATGAGGAAGCAGCAGCCCAAGGACCTAGTTGTGAGGAAGAAAGCGCTAGGCCTACGTGCTCCTCACAGACTACAGCACCGAAAAGAAAGAGACAGGCAAAGAAAGATGCAGCTTACGACGCTGCTCTTCATGAAGCTGTAGTTCGATGAAGAAAGAAAATGGAATTGGATGAAATATTTCACAAAACACAAATGGAGTTTTAAGGGAATATCATGAAAAACAAATGGAATATCATGAGAAACAAATGGAAGTGTTACAACTCCAAAAGTTATATTGGGAGAAAAAAAAACAAGGAATATGAATTTGCATTTAGTAAAAGACGGTTAATAAAACATTTGTCTCATAAATCTTTTCTAGTTTTAATTTTGGTATGTTCACATCTAATATTAAGAGATTGCACATATATTCCCATAACCTTTAAAACTATACTGTCTTTGTACAGCCATGTACAAATACTTGTCCTCCTGCCACTTCACAACCACATCCTGCACCAAAAAGGTTATACAAATCTTGCACAGAAAACTCCCACCAAAAAACATTATACAATATCAAATGTAATATACACAAATAATTATATTAACTTGCATCTATAAAAATGGTGTACTTAAGAATACACGCTACTGACAAAGGCTGCTCTTCTTAAACCTTCTGCTCTGCTGGTGTTGGCAGCTCCTTCCCCTTCAACTTCATATTCATTATGAAATCTAGTTTCTCCATCATTTGATGGAACAACGTCCCTGTTTTTGATAGCAATATTGGGTGAAATAGCAGCACTGCATATTGCCAACATAGACGCATTCAGAGTACTCTTACCCTTCTCTTCCATACACCAAATGCCCTCTCTATAATATTTTTTGTCTTGGTGTGTGCTGCATTACACCTTACTTCAGAGTCTGTGGCAGGGTTGCTTATTGGTGTCATTGGGTATGGTCGTAGAGGTTAAGCAGAATCCCCTACCATATGGCCTGTATACTGGCCTTGCTCCAGTTTCTTACACAGGCCACTGTTTGTAAAACAAACCGGGCCACCGACAAATGATATAAAAATCAAGGTTAGGGCAACATACACCTTGAACATTTAATGAAAAAATCCCTTTCGGCATCTGAATTCTTCTGCACGTCCCCCCCCCTCCCCCAGGACCTTCAATTGGGATATGCGTGCAGTCGATTGCCCCAATTAGACCAGGAAAATTTGCTATGCCCTGAAATTTTCGATTGGTAGCCTGAATGGCTAGCCTATCTGGAAATACAACATGACGTTTAAATGTACGAGCAACTGACAACAAAGTTTCCTTGATACATCTACTGACAAAGTGTTGTGATACACCAAAGTTGTCTGCAATTGTCAACTGCAAGCTGCCAGTAGCCATCCATCTCAGAGTAATGAACAGCCTTGTGTGTGTGGGGGGGGGGGGCAGGAGCGCCTATAAATAGGGGAAATATTGCTGTTATAATAATGTAAACACATTAGTCTATTCATAATATATACTTGTATATATATACAAGTTACACATAACGATATACATATAACTATAACTATATATATATAGATAGATAGATATAGATATATTATATATTATATTATATATTATATATATAATATATATATAATATATATATATATATATATATATATATATATATATAGAGAGAGAGAGAGAGAGAGAGAGAGAGAGAGAGAGAGAGAGAGAGAGAGAGAGAGAGAGAGATAGAGAAGAGATAGAGAGAGAGAGGGAGGTACATACTTGTTTGCATGTGTTTGTGAATTAACATATATAATTATACAAAGACAAAATATTGTGTGTACATACAGCATATATCACATATATATTATTATAAAACCGCTTTACAAACCTCTGCCATCGCGAAATTCAGATAGATGGATGTCATTCAATATAAATTTCACGCTGTCCTTCGAGATCCTGAATCGAGCGACGAATTCTTCGTCACTCAGGCTCAGAAATAATTTATTTATTTCAGTTAACACCACTCGTGGAGGCTGTATGACTGCTGTGTTGTGTATTTCTTCAAGCTGATTGATTTCTTCTATTTCTGCTTAAGTTTCTGCCATTTCTGCTACCTGGAGCGATAGATGTCAGCTGCATAAATCGTATGTGAAGGCATCAGCCAGCAAGTAATATTTCGGCATTGCTTTGGCCCACGAAATGTGATTTTTTTGCCATTTGTATATGTTACCATCGTGTTCGTTATATCAAGAAACGCGTATTGAAATATATCAGAATTGCCATTGTTTGCAAGTAAACAAAACATTGATAAATGTTTAGATATGGGGAGCGTTTTCGCTGACGACTCACCTTGGGATACAATCCAAAATATGTAATTAAGTCTTCGAAAAATATTCTATTTTAAAAATAAAAACGAAATCTTTAAATAAATCTGACCAAAAAAATAAGCCTTCTTGCCTTTAAGGACAGAACCTGATTATTGCGTAAAAACTTAATATTAGATTAAAAAAAAAAAAAAAAAAAAAAAAACACTGTCGAACGCCACCATAGACACATTCAAGCTGGCGCTCCACCGCCGCTCAGGTTCCAATAATGTAACGCCAGTCCGGGGCGTCGGAACGCCAGGCGCTCGAAGTTCGGGATTTTAAAGTACGAAACTGGTCCACCGCCACTTGAACGCCGCCGCCAGTGGTGGCGGTAGACTTAAAGTACGGCCCGAAGGAGATCACCGAAGGTCAAAATGAGTTGAGGTGGAAGGTTGGGAGGGGATGTTTCTAAGGAATTCTTGTTCCACTTGTAAGAACCATAGGCAGGTTTTTTTTTTTTTTTTTTTTTTTGCGTGTTGTGGCGTTTGTTCCATATTTCCAAAATCTGTTTTGACTATAATCAATGATTAATAATTTGATGAAATATGACACATAATTGATAATGTATAGTGACTTTAACTATAGATAATAAAGAATTACAAAAAATAATAATGAAAGTACACTTTATCAATGATGTATTTCAAAGAAAATATATTAATGAAAGTCATGATAAATAAATTAATCAATTAACATATCTAATGATTATGGCAACCTAACGACATTAAAGAACATTATAATATGGAACGAAAAATGAATAATATCAATAAATGAATAAGGAGTAACTCAACATTCAGTAGTGGTACTTAAACATAAGGACCGTTGTTATAATGTGGTATTTAGCCGTTCATATCACGCAACTTTTTTCAGATTTGACATTTCTTCTATGGTTTTGGCTTCTGCATTTGGAGAATTGGAGTTCAGCAGAGCTACTCTTCCCCTGAATTCTCTTAGTGACATACCATCCGTAACATTAGATAAACAACGATAATGAAAAAGAAATAAAATCTTGAACTATGGAATAACTTTTCTTAACTTCCTAAGCCACTAACAATCCTTGGCAATTTAAAAACGCTTCTTCAGACTAAACCATAAAAGATATTTTTACATACCATCCCCATACAAAAAATTGATAACCCTGCAAATATGGCTTTAGATAACCCTGAGGATATCTTCAGTTATCCTTAAATATATTGGGTAGATAACCCTAACATGTTTCGTACTTGCCTGAATGGATTTCTTTCTTTCCTTCTCTTTCTTTCTTTCTCTCTCTCTCTCTCTCTCTCTCTCTCTCTCTCTCTCTCTCTCTCTCTCTCTCTCTCTCTCTCTCTCTCTCTCTCTCTCTCTCTTCTATTTTTGATAGCCTTGAAAATAATTCTATATGAATAAAAGAAAATTCAGTGCTTAAAAAATCACCCCAAACAGCATGTAAATTTTCCTCCGAGGGATTTCCAGGAGTCAGAATTGCCTGCAGTGTAATGGCTGTAGAACTCACGATTGATATATTAACAACCGATGGCTATAATTACCGACAGTATATACTCAAATTTACGGGTATCGTTTCGTCGATATTCCCCCAAAGACTTGAAATCTATTCGGGCTTTGGAGAGAAAAGGTTTTAGAGCTTGGAAATGCGAGGAAGGCTGGTCGTTCTCCTTTTTCCCTTTCCTGGCGTGCAGTTCCCCAAGACTTTTAATCGATACTTTTCTTTTCTTCTACGTGTGAAAAAGAAAATAATATGCAAAGTAAATTCATTCAATTGAATTAAATGGCATTGTGTGTGTGTGTTCTTTTTACGTCATCATTATCATGACTATTTTCATTATAGTAATTTTCAGTAAGATTAAAGTGTACTCGCTGATGTTCAAGGCGTTATTTTCCTTGTCATTATTAGTATATTTACCATTATCATTATTATATTTGTTGTAGTTTTTTGTATTGTTATCATTAATATTATTTCCATTACAATTTTCATCATTATTATCATTAGTCTTATCCTAATTAGGAGTATTATGATTATCATTATTGGTATTATGAATACGTTTACTGTGATTATTAACATTATTCCTACTCTTACATTTATAATCATTGTCATGCTTCTTGTCATTATAATTATCATTATTGTCCCTTTCATTATTACTGTCATTATTATTATGATCATTAATGTTGTTGATACGTTTATTATTACTATCATTGATATTACCATTATTATTATTAGTGTCATTGTTGTTATTGTTATTATTATTATTATTATTATTATTAATATTATTATTATTATTATTATTATTATTGTCATTATTATTATTATTACTATTACTATTATTACTATTACTTTTATTATTACTATCGTTATTATTATCATCATCATCACTATCCTTATAATCGTTATCATTTTATTATCATTATCGATACGTTTATTATTATCATTGTTTTCGTTATCATCGTTGTTATTATTAGCATCATTATAATCATTATCGTTATTATCATTATCATTATTGTCACTATTATTTTTGCTGTTGCTGTTATCACAATTATCATTATCATCATTAATATTTTTATTATCATTATTGTTATTGTCATCATTATTATCAATATTTTTGTTATCATTACCATTATACTTATTATCATTGTTGTTGATGATAAGGTTTTCATTATTATTATCATTATCATAATCAATATCATTATTATTACCAATACTGCTACTACTATGACATTCATATCATTATCATTATTAGTGTTATTATCAATATAATTTTCATTATCGTTACTATCAATATCATTACTGTAATTATCGTGACTATCATAATCATTTGCTGCAATAGCGGACCACACCCACTGGTCTCCAGTACTGTGGTATAGATTTCCTTTTTGTTTTACTTTTTATTTATTTATTTTTATTGCTATTATTACTTTTTTTTTGGGGGGGAGGGGGTGGTATCCGTTACTTTTCGTAAATCCCTGGTTGTTCTACGCAAA